TGGCCAAGCCTGGACTAAGTTGATGTGTTCAATTGTAGTCTGTTGTCAGTTATCATAAATCGGAAATCGGTAAACAACACATGAACAAAGAGTATGATTAAAATCCATGTCTCAGTTCATACGATATCTAGAATGGAGGAATATATGATCCCTTATCTAAAGGACACGTTACTGATAAGATCAGAGTTGACAGCGACTTTTGAAAACTACGATTGCTGATTAGGTCGTACTTACAAAATAGTTATTAGACTTATCCAAGTGGGAGACTGTTGGATTAGGTGTCTAAGCCCATAACTATTTTGTTATGTACTTGACCCGATTATGAGCATGGTCCTTTTGGGTTGCCTTCACCATAGCAACTGACAGGATGAATTAAGGAGAAAGAGGATTAATTATGATTTATTAATATATTATGTGAATAATATATTAAAAGAGAAATCATATTGTTTAATTAATATTAGTCAAGAATCAATTAATAATTAATTTTGTGGCTAAAAGATTTTAATTAAATAAAGGGGACTGATATGGCAATTATATGATAGCTGCAAATTGGGCTATGGATTCCTAATGGAAAGGGCATTGGACGAAATCTATGGGAAGCTCATATGATTTTTGTCCAAGGGCTTTCTAGAGGGACTCCATGGGTTGCTTAAGGCCTAAGCAGAGAATTAGGGTTTCACCTAAAACCCTAGCAGCCCACACAAGTATATAAAGACACCTAGGGCTCCCAAAAACGTGGCTAAGCTTTCTCTAGAAGATCTTGGACGTTTTTGGTGCTCCTCCTTCCTCTCCTAAATCATCTTGTTGCTAGTGGTGTTTGTGACTCCATTAGAGGTGCAACATTTGAGGCACTAAGCTTTCAAGAGTCAAGATCAAGAAGGATTGTGATTGTTATTGCTACATAACAATCAAATGTAAGATCTAAACCCTAAATCATATGTGATTTTCAGATTTGTATGTTAGACTTTAGGGTTATTGCTTTGGTATTCAATGTTGTTGTGTTCATAGTAGAAAAACCTAGATCAAAGCAATTAGGGTTACATGAACACCATAGGAATGATGTTATGCCCATAACCCAACACCATATGCTTTCGCCGTTGGATCGATCATGTATGCTATGACGTGTACTCGCCCTGATGTGGCTTTTGCTTTGCACATGGTTAGTCAATATCAGGGAAATCCAGGTAGAGCTCATTAGATAGAGGTCAAGAATATTCTTATGTATCTGCAAAGAACTAAGGACTGGGTCCTTGTGCTTGGTGGCAATGATAACTTAAGAGTAACTGGGTATAGTGACGCCGACTTTCAGATAGACAGAGACAACTTCCGTTCTCAATCTGGTTGGGTGTTTACCCTTAATGGGGATGTCACAGTTGGTATCAGAGCATTAGTTTAAACGAATTAGGAATTTGTAGGATTTCTAGACTTAAACTTAGAATGCTAAGAGATGATTGTGAGATGAGTGTCTACCATATTTTAGACACAAGCACTAGTTTATTTTAGGAAAGATGCCTAAAATTCTTTTATGTGCTAAATGATTTATATTATATCTATAAAGATGCCTTATATGATTATTTGATCGGATCTATGGTATGTTGCTGACCGGATCTGGAAACTTTATGTGTTCAGGTTTCTAAACGTTTAATTACGGTATTAGAACTGACATATAACTTTTCGGAGTAATAAGGAGATTTATACGTCTATCGTAAATAAATCCTTTCTAAACTCTCGTCACTACACACCGAACGTCTGATTTTCGTGTATAGGTCGACATGGAGAGCACTCAGAACGGATTCGGAAACGGTAACTCGCAGCCTGAGCCACAAGTAATTGAGCGTGCACCAGAAGTAGCGGCTGCACCTGAGCCAATCACGATGGCAAGAGTACAGGAAATGGTGCGAACAATGTTGGATCAACAGATGGAAGAGACAAGGCGTTTACTTCAACAAAGTAAGGACGAACTTATTGTGCCAGTACGCCAGACACCACCTCTTGAGGCAACCATCTGGGTTGCTAAGTCTATTGAAGAAATGATCAACGACAGGACCACCAACAAGGTTGAAGTTGGCAAGAAGAGGAAATTTGAGGGGTCTTTAAAGGTCCAACAAGAGCAACATGTTCTCAAAGTCTGGAAAAAGAGGAGGTAAAGAAAAATGGTGCGGGAAGTGAAAAAATAAACACTCTGGAAGGAAGGTGACTTGCTTCAATTGTGGAAATTCTGGGCATTACGCCGATGAGTGTATGTTTCCCAAGAGGGTGTATTACGGATGTAGGGAAGAAAGACATATTTCTAGGGACTGCCCGAAGAAAAATGAAGCAGCAAGGCAAAGCGCACCGCCAACGCCAAGGGCATTTCAAAATATCCTTGACGAAGAAGGTGACAACGCAAGGAATCACGAGTAAGGATTTCATATCCGAAGATCGAGATATGAAGTAGCCGTAGTAGCATGTGGTGTAGCCTATTAGAGGCATAGTATGGGTTCAAATTTAACATCTATGTAATCGTTTCAAGAATTAATATAAACCCTGGTTTTGTTATCTGATGTGTCAAACCTTGTCCGCACAAATACTTTGCATTCACACTTCATGCAATCTCCAAGCAGTTCTTGATCCCACTCTTTATGATTTTGTCCTTACTCCTTTGATCGAAGCCCTAAAATGACATACCTTTTTCATTCCACTCACCATCACCACAACTAATTTTCCATCCGACTATCTGGTGAAAGCACATGTCTCTACCGAGGTCGATGATAATCTTGACATAATTCAACTCCAATTAATCAATGATGATATTGTCTATCTTAACAAGTACGTCTTCCTCGAATCCATTGGTCTTCCTAGATATTTCATTCGATCGCGATACGAAACAACCTCGACTACTCAAGTATTTCGCAAACTTCTTGAAATAGACCATAAAACTCCATTTGAAACCACTTACAACTTAAAAAATTCAAAGCTTCCAGTCACATGGAACTTTCTTTTTCACTTAATCATTCACTTCCTTACTAATAAGACTAGATGAATTGATCAACTAAGCACAACATGACTTTAAATCCTCTGTGGAATCATCACCGACAGACCAGTCGATTACTCAACGTGTTTATGGAATGATTTCAAGGAATACATTGACACCAAAACGATGGAGATCCCACACGCGAGATTCCGAGCTGTTTGCCTTGAATCACTCTATAATGCCTCCAAGATTCATGTTGATGAATCTTTGGATATGTTTGAAACTCTTCAAATGACAAGATTTCATGTTCATGATCCAGTTGAATTGAGAGAAACCAAACGTATACCCGCTGCTCTTCTGGACCTTATTCCAAGAGATTCAACCATTCTTACCCAACACATTAAGGATACAGATGAACCAAAACCGGAACGCCCTACCCCATCCTCGACAAGAACATTGAAGAAAACCTCCAGGTTCAAAGTCGACATAACTCCTCCTAAAGGAAAGTTCATCACTAAGAAGAAGAAGATTGACAATAAGTGTAAGGATTCAACTATTCCCTCTCCTACTCCCCAAAGGCGTATCCTATTGCACACCATGTACACTCAACATTCCAGAGGTGATAAAAGATCTCATGTCGAGTCAAAGAAACCCAGAGCCATCCATTCACCTCCTCAAGAAGGAAGTGTCTCAAAATTAAAAGGGTTTAATTTCGCTTCCATAACAACTCCTTCTCAAAAGGGTGTTGGAATCAGTTCGACCACTCATCTCCAAATGGACATCGTCTTAGGCAAATTTTCCTTGAATACAATAGAATATATTATTCATTTATGCACACACCGTACTTCTGAAACCTCTTCTTTGGATATAGATTATGCTGCCAGAACTATATATATAGATTATACTTCGATATTTATCCTTGCTTACGTGGAGTTCCAAGGAATGGTTTCTACTTGTGTGTGTTCTTGTATACAATCTTACTATGTTCTTTTTCAGGAAAAACTTCCCCCGGTCCATCAAACAATATCAATTCATCCGATCAATCCAGATCTTCTAACCGAAGCAAGGCTATTGCAGCCAAAATCAGATGAAGAAATAGCTAAAGAAAAAAAAGATGAGAGATAAAGATGCAACAGATAAAATTGTTGCACTTTAGAAGAAAGCTCTCCATGAGTTTATGGAGAAGAGAGAAAAAGAAAGAAAAGAATTGGATGTTGTTGAAAAGAAAGTTAAAGAAGAAAAAGGAAATGGCAGTCGAAGAAAGTGCCATGATCAATGCTCTAACCTAAGAGCTACTATAAAAGAAAGCAAAAGAAGCTCATAAATCCACTCTTAAGACCTCAACAACCCTAAAGTCTTCATCAAAGACTTTGACCGGAACTCAACTAGGCTCCGAAAATGAAAAGCCTAGAAACGATTCAGAAGAATATGTCTCTGAATCAATCAGAATTATGCCAAATATTTCATCAAGCCTCGCACCATCCAACAAACTGCAACTTCCCAGAAGCTTCCTACGGAACCGACAAAGTCTTCATCACACTCTACAAATCGAGTGTCAAAAGAACACAAGTCAACCGTTGGTTCAAATAAAAAAAACTAATTTTATAGAACATAAAGACCAAATTAATAACTTCAAAAAGAGATCACCGAAGGAGATTTGACCCTAAACACTTCTAAAAATACAAATTTGGAAAAACACAGTTGTAAAAAAGATGAAAAATAAAAGTTGTAAATAGGTATTTCAGAAAAAAAAAAATGTTAAAAAAAATTATAAATATGGTTTGGATCAAACATAAGGACCATGTTTGTAATTTTTGGAACCTAAGGACCATATCTTTAACTTTTGGAACCATTTCTGTATTTTTGTAAATACAGGGACCATTTCTGTAAGTTTACATTTTGACAGGTACCTTTTTTTAATCTATGAAACATAGGGATTATCATTATAATTTTTCAATTAAAGTAGGGACTATTTATGTAAATCTTTAAAAGCACTGTTCATATTTTACATAAAGACATGTGGGAAGCCAACGACGTCGCTGATTGTGTGCAGCCGGTTTCTCCTTACGCTTCTACTAGCCATGAGCGCCGTTACCAAACCCGTCCGCCTCGCCTATCGGGATGAGAAAGGGAGGCTTCGTATGAATGAAGAAGCTGCTTCGATCCTTCTGCTTGTTAAAGGACCGATCGGAGTGGTTTCAGTTTGTGGTCCTGCTCAGTTAGGCAAGAGTTATATCTCCAATCAGGTAATTTTTCTTTTTTCTTCTTGGGACAGGTTTGCTTATGCTATTAGAAAGGCTTGATGCATGATTTTCTATTATGTATTATCTACTTTGCAATTTTGAGATTAGGGTTTTTATATAAGTTGTTACGAAGAAATGAGTCATCAATATAGGTTATATTGGAGAACTGTTGTATAATAGTCTCTATATATTCTAATGATATAAAGGGCTTTATTTCATGTTCTTTTGTGTCTTTTTCTTAGGATGTTACTTAATTCCTCTTCTGATTTTTTTTTCTTAGGGTTTTCTTTTCATTTTATAAGAGTTTTCTTTCCTTTTCTTCTCTTGGATATATTTTCTCAAGTTGTATACTTTTAATTCATAACAAATTTGAAAAGTTTTTCTTGTTCATATAATCAACATGTGCAGAACCAAACATAAGCTTCAAAATTTGGTACACGAGTCTCAAAGTTTGTGGGTTACGGAATTATATGAATCCATATCAACTTTTAATTATATGAAATTTAAAGTCACAAAGTTTAACCTTTTCACATGTTGATTTGTTAATGTTAATATTCCATGGATATAAAATTTTGATACATGTTGATTAATTAATATTTACGTTAGTTTTCATCTTGAGCTGATAAAATTTATGTTATAATTTTTGTAGCTTATGGGAAGGACTAGTGGATTTGAGGTGGGACGAAGGCCATATAATCCTGATCACTGCACTGAAGGGCTTTGGATGTGGTTTTCTCCTTCAACAAAAACTGCTGATGATGGGACCAACTACAATATCTTAGTGATAGACACTGAAGGATCGGATAGTCCATATGGGGTTGGTTTGACTTGTTATAAAATACTATATCTAGTTCATGTTTTTTCACTTAAATTTATTCTTCTGGTTTTTTTTTTTTTTTTTTTTTTTTTTCATCCAGGAAAAATGCTTGTATCTAGCTGTAGTCTTATCAAGCATGTTAATATACAATCAGGTCGGGTTTTTGTTTCATTAATTAGCACCTTTCCTTTGTGCATGCATTTTGCTTAATCTGACTTTTAATAATTTCCATCAGATGGGAGATATAGATGGGACTTCATTTCATTATGTCTCTGTTGTAACTAAAATGGTTAATACGATGGCTGGAGACATCACAGCATCTGAGTTTAAACAATTCTTCCCAATGTTCTTTGTCTGGCTTTTAAGGGTACACTTTCTTTTCTTTTTACTAAGTTTAATTATTAGCGTGTTCAGTTCACCACATTAATTCCGGATTGCAGGATTTCACTTTGTGTTTGGGGGAAATGACTCCATGTGAGTACATGGATGACTTTGCTTTGAAGCCGTTAGATGTTTGTGAATGTCCTGAAGATGTTAAATATGTTAATGAATTAAACAAGGTTTTTGCTTCTCATCATCACTCACTAGTCACTAATACTAGTACCATGGCTTGGTTAATTTGTTTTAGATTGTATGTATGTATGTATGGTTTTCTTTTCATATACTTAATTCCCTAAATCCCTGATAGGTTAAAACATCCATCAAAGATCTCTTCGTGGGCAGGCACTGCTTCATATTTCACCGACCTTCTCTTGAAGAGAAAAAACTCCTGATTCTTGACAAAGTACCAGTAAGTAATAGTTATCTATTTCATGGTTCTCTGGAAGAAGATTGGAGTTTTTGTTTAATTTTATTTATATTTCAAACTTTGTAGGTGCGTTGCTTGAGGAAAGAGTTCAGAGAAGGAGTGAAGGAGTTAAGGAGTTTAATTTTTGAGAAAACTAAGCCCAAGAAGATAGGAGCAACGGTTGTGACCGGACCTATTTTTGTTCAAATAACCCGCTACGTTATTGACGCTCTCAACAATGGCAAAAGGCCCACGATTGCTTGCATATTGGAGGTTAAGCAATTTGCATTTGATGACATTATTTTTTATGATCAACTATGTTGATACACATTGCTTCATGTCTTTCAGCACGTTGAGAAAACCAAGCGCCCAAAGGCATTGAAATCTGCTACCATTGCTACTGTATTTGACGATCCCCCGGTTTGTCCTCTAAAATCTTGATTTCCCATTTTTTTTTTCTTTTATCGCTTAGTATAACAATAATGCACTTTTCAAATGTTTGTAGGCTGCAAATACACGGCAAAGGAAAAGGATGTTGAGCTAAGAGATGGCCTTAACCCCTACATGAAATGGAGGGATGGGAGTAGACTGTATGAAAGACTGAAGTAGGGTATTATTAGGTGTTCTTCCTTTAACAAGGTCATGCATACATATAATCTTCTTTGTAAAAATTTAGTTATGTTAATTCTTAAAGTAACATTCTGCATTCATAGATTGACGTTGAGTGTATTAGGGGTTGAGGGTTCAGGTCGTGTCGGAGACATAAATAAAATTAGAAGCTTATTAGATTTGTCGTTTCTAAAAAAAGTTAATTGCTAAACTATTTGTAAGATGAACATGAAGTAAAATTGTTCGGCTGCATGCATATCTATGACATAATGAACCAATATTTACATATACATTTATTTAGGTATACATTTTGTGTTGTTACACTGTTGATTGATATTATTTATCACAATGAATTCTCGGATCAAGATCATCAATCTTTAGACATTTTCTATCAAGCAATGCATTATGATTACTTTTTCAAATTATATATAATTGTAAAAATTAACCGAGAGCTTTTATAATAAGAAATATGTTGGAGGACTTCTATTCTTTCTTTATTTAGTTTATGAAATTAATAATGGTTACTGTTGTTTTTATTTATTTATTTAACAACCGGATTTTATTTTCTAATATAACTACAGAAAAAAAAAACTAGTCTTCCGCTTCCATGATTAAATAGCTTTGACCAACTCCGTACCTTGATTAAATTGTTCTGATCAAGCTATTGAAGAACTAGTCTTCCACTTCCTTTTAGGCAATTCATAAGCAGATTCTCCACTCAGGGTTCATCCATACATAGGCACATTTCTCCTTTCCTAGGCTTAGATGTAGTTAGTTTCCATCTCTACTTTCATTATGAGTATTGCAAACGTAGCATTGAGAAATATCAAACAAAATTTCTCCATCCCATCTTAATTTCTAGGAGATTAGCAATCTCAAACATGTTGTATCTATTACTGGTGCTCTCGTTGAATGTCAATGCCTCACCATTGCGGCCGATGGTCTAGCACGTGTCCTCACTGGTCCACCACAAACATTGCCCAACTCGAAGCACTAACTCAACAGATTGTCGTTCAAACCTCTACCATTTTAAATGTCATAGCAGTCGTCGGCAAGATTCAAACAGAACCTAACCAAACACCGACAATGGTACTACTCTTGACACCAACACCAGGCCACAAGTTTCCAAAAATACAACTACCTTGTTCAATTTCAGACACAGTCGATTAGCTATTCCATACCGACTAGTATTTTGCCTATTTCATCATTCCCCCAAAGCAACACCTCACCATCACATCCTTCCACCTTCGACGTTATTCCTTGAGCTGGTTCTACTATACGCATAGTGTTTAGTGCTCGTTTTTTTCCCTGAATTTTACATTGTCAGCATTTTTTTTAGCGCATATATATATATATATATATATATATATATATTATATATATATATATATATATATATTTGCCAATCATTTTACTTATTTTAAGAAAGTGATTAATACATATTATTAAATTAAATATAATTGAAAAATATCATTTAATTTAACTAGAAGAGTATTTTAGTCAATTAACATATATTTAATAAATGAAATTTGCATATTTTAAGGGATCATATATTCTATTAATTAAAAATCCGATTTTACGAATTATAAGGTTTTTAATTCGGACATTCTGACAGAATATGTTTGAGTATGTTCAAAAAAAAAATTTCTTGAACCATAAAATAATAAAAATATTCTTGAACATATTTCTTGATCATGACTTTAAAAATTTATTGTAAAATAACAAAATTCTCGAACCATCAATTAAAAAATTAAAACAAAAATTACATTAATTCTTATAGAATACATGTAACAATTGCTAAGAATTACATTTATTATTAAATAATAAAAGTAAAAAACTTTCAAATCTGGAAAAAAAACATCAAAATCTAACAAAGACACTACTACATTCTAAAAGAATAATGTTGCTAAGAGACGTCGTTCAAATTTCGTGGTCCGTTCTTCAAGCATGAACTTCTGTAGAAACAAATCCAATAATAAATTAGTGAGAAATTATCTATATTCCATTCCAACATAATTGGAATTCGTGATTCCATTATGATAGAATTGGAATTCAATTACCAATAATTATATTAATTCGAGGATTTCTAACATAATATGTTCATGATTATCATAAAAAACATTCTTTTCTGATAGAATACTATAAACGAAGAAATACCATTCAGTTGAAGCATTTTAGCGAGCGCTTGGTGTGCATCAAAACAACTTTCAATTTCGGATGAGAGGGTGCTACAGTCGCCGCAATAAGAACCCTAACCCTAGGAGGGTGCTACAGCCGCCGCTTATACCCCATCCTTCACCCGCCACCTCCTATCCGCCATTGGAGCCGGAAATCACCGGAGCCACCCCCTCCTACATCTGAAAGAGAGCGAGCCAGTCAGATGCAAGAAGTCTAGGGTTGTCACGCCACCATCCCTTTCGTGGTGGCTAACTGCCGTGAACCGCTCAGTCACTGCCATGTTTATATGGCTGTTGTGAACTACCGGTGCCCAACCACCGTCGCCGCTTCAACGAGCATCGAAGACGAAGGTCGCCGATTGTCACTGTGGCAGCGAGCGATCAGAAGAAGAAAGATATTGGATGTCGCGTTGTGTTTCACGTGAGTACGAGTGTTTCTGCTCGTGTTTAGATGCGTATTCCAGAATATGTCGTCGTTTGTGTGCTTGGTCGGCCGGAAGTGTAGTGTGTACGAGAGGGAGATGAGAGGGAAAAGGTTGGGGGCGACGATGAATAGAAGAGAAGAGGGAAGAGGCAGACGTGAGGATATATACTAGAAATTCGGTTTTAAAACTGATATTCCTAAATTAAAGGGATATTAATTGATTTATATATTTACCATAATTAATTAAATGTATGATTACATATTTACCATTTTGAAATGATTGGCCTATATTTATTCATACAATAACACACTAATTACTTTAAATACCTGAACTTAGCTCTCTCTCTCTCTCTCTCTCTATATATATATATATATATATATATATATATATATATATAAAGTTCAGTTGAGAATACTAAAAAGGTTGAAAATACGAGAATAAATCTTGATCATCTAATTATTTAAATCTATGGCTATTATCAAATGAATCATTTATCTAAATTGTGAAATTATTGGTATTAGAATGTTACTTTTAAATGGTGAAAATGATATAATAGTAATTGAATATTTATTTAATTGCTATAACTTCTCACACTCTCAGACATAGAGTGTGTCATCCAATGCAACTGTTGTACTCATACGAACTAGCTATGAGGCAACCCTTATATGAGTAATTTAGTATTCATTTGTTCTACAAGATATCTTTATGAACCTGAGACATGGAAGCAATTCAATCTCAATGTTCAAGATTATGTCTCTCGATAGAGTGTAACGGCCTAATTTTTTTTATTTAATTTGAAATATATGACTTGTAACACCCAAAAATTTCAAGACAAATTTGAACTTTTAAAACCTTTCAAACCATTAAAATCATTACAACTTTGTTTTCAAAATGTATAATATCATAGTTTTCCCCAGAAACATAAACAAAACATGAGGAGCTGTACGATCACGCCTTTGCCTTGCCGCGGTCCCCTGATGTACCTGAAAAAATAAACTGAAACTGTAAGCCCGAAAGCTTAGTGAGTTCCCCCAAAATACCAATCTCGTATAACCATAATCATATCACATCCACAAATACAAATCAGCATGCATAATGAGCCTTCAGCTTGACTGGACTGCCTCCCAGGGCCTACAGCCTATCTGGACCGCTCCCGAGCCTTCGGCATGACTGGACCGCCTCGCAGGGCCTACAACCTATCTCGACCGCTCACTGGGTATGTTGGCCTTCCGCACAAAGTAGGACCGCCTCAACCCAACCCCAATCAAACAAACATGAACATAATATCATACGCTAGCTCATATCATATAACAGTCAAACCAATCTGATAGTTCACTAATCATGGCAACATCCCAATAACCGGGATACAGACCTAACCGGTCACTAACACAACATCATCCTATAATCAGGACATTGACCTAACCAGGTCGCTACACATAAGCATATCACCACCCTAACTACCAGGATGTAATCAATAAACATATCATGCCATAACCGAATACAATCCTTAAAGGTCCGGCCTTGGTGCCTTAGACCCTATTGATATAGTGAGGATAACTCACCTCACAAGTAGTGCTGAAATACTACAAATCTCTGACTGTTGTCTCCCCGGAATCCCACACTATCACACCATAAATAATAAGTTAATACCCATCATGACCTTTTTGACTAAATGTCCCCACCATGCTCATATTTTTCCAAAATACCCCAGAAGTCCAATAATCAACCTTTGGTCAAAGTCAAAGTCAACTATCAAGGTCAACAGTCCATGTTGACCTCAACTTGTCAAGTACCCTCAGCTACTCGCCGAGTTCCTGGCATTACTCGCCAACTCGCCGAGTCACTTGAGTGACTCGTCGAGTTCCTAGTGTCAGTGGCCGAAACTCCTTGGCAAACTCGCCGAGGTTTTCCCTTTACAATCGTCGCGTTCATATGTGTCCAAAGGTTGGGAAAACCCTAGCCGACTCGCCGAGTCTCTCATCTGACTCGTCGAGCCCACGACAATCTTCATCGGACTCGCCGAGTCGACCATGCAACTCGTCGAGTCCCTTCAGTCCTTCATCCATACAGAGGCTTTTTAAGCCATGCTAAGGCTCCAAATTGTAGATCTAGCTTCCCAAGGCATGTTTATCACGTAAAGTTGCAAACTTTACGTGCATGTAAAGCTCTAAAGTCTTAGAATGACAACACCAAGCTTGCAAGGAACTCTCACACTTGAGGGAAGGTTCATACTGGCCAAAGCTGATAACTTTATGGATCTAAAGGCCAAAGGGAGTCCAGATCTGAAGTTGCAACTTCAGATCTTGGCTCAAACACAAGAATCATTTTCCTAAAACCCACCCAAAGAGATTAAAGATGAAATGAGCCAAGGAAACAGCCTAATACCTTCAAGAAAGAGCCAACTGAAGTAGATCTTTGCTCCCCACGAGTTCCTTGCTTCAATT